CCACCAGTCCTAAAAAGGACAACACTACGACTCCATCTCTGAAATGAAAGACAACAAGGTCAAAGACTTCACCCCCTACATGGAAGTAAGTCGACCAAAATCCATCAAATCCTCACCAAGGACTCAAGACAACGATAGTGATCCTCACGGACCAACCAACCCCAAAACTGTGCACAATGCAACGAAGAGAAGAGACTCACTCCTTGTGAAGTCCCTAACACGAACCAACACAAAACCCTTGTGGAAACTCGCATACACGCTACGTGCGACCGAGGGAAAACAAAAGGGAAAACCAAACCTGGAAGTCCTGCATATGACAAGGAATGCAACTACTAGAAAGAAAATTTACTCACATAGATAAAAATCAAAGGTACATGCAACACGTCTCCACGTAAGCACAAAAGCATGTTACTAAAGCGCAATTACAACATGGCATCTCTAAGCATATAAAGAAGGCATGCTAATGCCACATAACAAGAAGGCAAATGTGGACACAATTCCACCTACTCATGCATCACAACGTCATAAATCATACTACTAACATGGTAGAAAACGAAACTGCATAAGATAACATGATGCAACAATGAACCCTATGGACATCGTGTCCTAGAGTGTCTAAGAAAAGAAAGGATAATTCCTAGTCATAAACTGTCTCCAAAACCAATGCGACAACAACCTGTCTTAAAGCAAACGTGAGCCCTTACCACAACGGTAAGACTCTAACAATCCATCTCATAATCTAGAGGTGACGCTACAAGTGACACTAACAGTGCAGTGCTCTCACTATCCGTAACATCAATCAATCGACTTGATCCCAAAAGCGTCATCACACAAGAACTCCTCATGGAAAAATGGCAACTACAGCCATACTAATAACAACCAAATCAATCACTATGACTGATCTCCAAAACAACCATCATCATCATCGATTAAAAGGACAACACCTATCAAAACAAAACCAACATTGATTCCATCCGAACTGCACTAGTAGCTCGCTAGTACGGTAGCATGACAGTGCCATGCACCCACCCACAAACGTACCCGCCCACGAAAAAACGCAAGTTCCAGAGGAATCATCCTGAACAATCAAGGATCCTAAGAGGTCCATAACCTCATAATGGCCTAAAACCAACAAATCCACCACTACGGTAACGCCAAATGACTCATCTCATAAAAGCTTAAACAAAAGGTGACCATCCATCTACCTCAAATCCAATGCTAAGTCAACAACAACCTATACTACCACGAAACTGTGACTACAATCACCATCAACCTCAACTCGTGCCTCAATGACCAATCCCGTGTCATGCCAAATAAGCAACACAATTATGCATATACAATTCTAATCTAGCATACGTCACATGTCATACTCTTTACATTAGAATAAAACAATGCTAAACAAATGGCATACAACATGTAGCACGTAAACACATAAACATGTTATCATAAAGCATATAAACAGATAGAGCATGGCAACAAACGCATGATATGCACGCAAAACCCGTCGTCCTAAGGTTTTCAAACCTAGGGGCTCTAATACCACTTGTGACGGCCCAAGTTTCAACCCGGTGAGTCAGTGATGAACCGAAAGATGACTCGATAACGCACTTGAAGTGGAAGCAAAAGACAAAACAACGGTCTCTAAAGATACAACATTGCTCTAAGACACCATTATGACCCTCAACGAGGTCACGGAACCCAAAAGAATCAAATGGGGAATGCTTACACAAAGCAACAACATGGCTCTAAGACACCATTATGTTGTTGCTTTGTGTAAGCATGCTTACACAAAGCAACACATAGGAGCATGCTTACACAAAGTAACAACATATAGATTCTCAAAGTTATCAACTTGAAGTCTAAAATGCAACATCAACTAAATATAACAATTTAGCATAATTAGAATATCTAATACCACACATCAAGACATTGATTCTCTAGGTTATCAACTAGAAATCTAAAAGTGTGAACTCAACTAAATATATAAATTTAGTATGGATGTACTTAACAACACCAAAATCGCTAATAGCCAAAATCACAAGTCAACAAGGTAAACATGATTGTCAATTTGGAATTGAATGCGAAAACAAATAGTGGAAGACTTGGACATCACGTCTCGGATTTTCGCCGAGAACAAATGGTTGTTCCGGGCACTAACCCGCAGGGAAAACACCCTAAGTGCGCACTATCTCAATTGGGAAGGACTCATACCTCCCGCACTAAAGCCGAACTTTAGCCATATCATATGTAACAACAATATCCCAAGACTCCAAAATAAACCAAATAAGTTTATAACTTATACATATTACTACTACATAGTAACAAGCTAGCAATATAACTCTCAATTGTGCATAATAAGCATTTCATATCCATAACGCTATGAAATCATAAGCCAACAATATATTCATTTTAGAAACATACTCTTATAAATATAAATTTAACAACAATGCCCTTCAATGCATATAACACAACCAAGTGAATACATCACAAGTCTAAATCCATGTTCTTAAAATAGAAACAACTTCTAAAACATGATTAGATCAATGGATAAACAAGATAGAATTTAATTACATCAAAATAATTAAACTCTCTAGATTTCAAATCATTTCCAATTGGCTCCAATTTAATATATGCTAATAGACATATCATGGTCATTACATATATTCTCACAAAAAGCTTAATTAGGCCCATGAAACCACAAAAATAGATTTTAATTAATTCCCTTAATTAAAGTCTCTAGATTTCCAAGCTCAACCAAATGCTCTCAAATTAAAGTATGTTAACAAACATGCCAAAACTTAATTTAGAAGCATAATACAACTCAATTCCATGGAAGGTATGGCCATGAACTTAAATCTTTCACAAAAGATAAATATTAATTAAAAAGAGCACTTCTTATTTAATTAATCCCAAACTAATATATGTTGACCAACATATTAAAACAAGAGTTTTTACCATGCCACAATTCAAATCAAAGTTATATATCATCATGAATTTTAAATCTTATACAAAGAATTAAAAATTACCAATTTTCTAGATTTGATACAAGGTACATATAAGTTGTATAATTATGCTAAACACTCAATACAACACACATAAAAAGCCTAAAACATTCCCTACCTCCATTTAAGATGAAATCTCAAATCCCCACCAAAATAAATCGATTCCGAATCTGACGAAACTCCTAGGTTTTGTCGGGGACAACACCATGAATATAAATCTCAAGGAAGGCCCATCAAAAACACAACTTAACATCAAACCCGAACTCAAGAAATGGCCAAATACAAGATTCCAATCGGTTGGAATCGAAGGCCTCGCCGAGGGAAACAATAAACACAAAGGCATCACCACTTTTTAATGAAGGGAAAAAGTCCAAAAGAGGAGAGAGAAGATGGCAGCCATGGATGGAGCTTGGACCGGCCATGAGAGAGGAGAGGAGAGAAAAATCCAAATTTTCTTTCTAAGACCTCCTATTTATAGAAAAACTCAAAAAGTGCCCCGAACAGGCTCCCCCGGGTCCGGAAAAGTGGAATTCGCGCAGACACACTCAAATGGCAAAACTCCGTGAACGAAAAAAATTCAAAATGAGAAAATATGAGCAACGGAAGGAATGGTGTCAAAAACTGAGTCTCGAGCAAAAAGTTATGCCCAAACAAATTTGGCGCAAACCGGGACCAGAAACCCTGAAAATTGAAAATATCGTCCAGGAGGAAATTCTAAGAGTCCACGACTCGATGAAATGTGAAAATGAATCCCATACAAGGATCCAAGCTCAAAACAAGGCATTGAGCAATAACTTTCATTAATTGCACATGGCCCCTCCAAAAAGTGAAAACTACGAAACTGCCCCAGAATGAAAATATATTTCAAAAGATATTTTCTTAGATACCCCTGAAATAAAATATCTTCAAAAGATATTTATGAAAAACACCTCAAGAAGAGAAAAAGTTTACAAAGAACTTTGCATTTATTCCCCTACGGGCACCGTGAGCAACCAGAATACTTTCTCACGAAAGTAAAGATACGTATCTCATAGAAATCATTGAGAATGAAGAGACGTGAAGTCAGAAACCAACTCCGAACACAAGAAGTGTGGTTACGCAAACAGAGTGACAAACGAGGAAAAAACGAAATAGGGAAAAAGACAAAATAGGGAAAAGACAAAAAGTAAATAATGTCGAAAAACGAAAAATGCAGAATTGACTCGGTCCTCAAAGGAAGTTGTTAATTAACAGAAAAGAGTCTCGGAAATCACTCCAGAGCACTCGAGACGACACTAATCGACAAGAAACCAAATTCAGAAGAGAGCAGACAACGGAAAAAATTTATCCGAAAAAATTCGGGTCATTACATACTCAATATTTTTAATTGATGTGGCCAATTATTTTCCACTTATTTTAAAATGGAACAAATGTGTTACTATTTCACTAGAGATAATTTTCTACTAGTGATACAGTACATATATATACTTATATCAACTTAAAATTTTATGAAGACCACTTTGTTTGTGCACCCACCATAAGTAACTTTGATCGACGAATTGTGTATTTTGATAATCACACGTGTCAAACTTAATTGTTAAGTGTTTTTTTTTTTTTTTTTTTTCATGTTCATAAACTTAATTGTAAAGTTACCTGTATATAAATGGTTCAAATTTACCCACTGTATCATTTTTGTGTATTTAAGTGGTCATATTTATCTATAAGATAATGAATGGCCCTGTCTTTTTGTGGCTGAAGCCCAAAACCGCGGTCCAATACCCGAAGTCCCCGACCAAGCCACGGCTCTCCATGGTCCGAAACACTAAGCTGCTCCCCTTGCGGCTGTGCGCTGATTCTCTCACTAAAAATCAAGTACACATTCACTCTCTCTGTAAATATGACGTCTCCTGTCACTGTCACGTGGGTCCATATTGGGCCTTGACACGTTTCCAGCCCACGGACTTCTATATCCATAGTCCCCAACGTAGTAGCTAATCCTAGAGAGAGAAACACCGAAGAAACGTCCTCATTTATTTCATTTCATTTCATTTTCACCCACTCCCAAGTTCCCAACCTCAGATTACTAGTCTCTAATGGCGGCCTATGTCCAGAACCGGCAGTTTGGACCGGGTCTAACCGGCATCAGCTCCTACAATTCCGGTTCAAGCCACCGGTCTAACTCTCCGGGTCGGGGCTGCAACTTCCCTCCAATTCTGGAGCTGACCCGCCAGAAAAAACCAGTTGTGTTCGATGACTCTTCCAGCGAAGACGAGAGCGGAAATGATTACAGGGACATCATCGGAAAAGGGAACGGTGAATTGGAGCCGTCCGTTTTGGACCCGAGAGACGAGGGAACGGCGGATTGCTGGATTGACCGCAACCCGTCCCTGATCCGACTCACTGGGAGGCACCCGTTCAACTCGGAGCCACCGTTGGCCCGGCTCATGCACCACGGGTTCATCACCCCGGTCCCGCTCCACTACGTCCGGAACCACGGATATGTTCCGAAGGGCACCTGGGAGGACTGGACGGTGGAGGTGACCGGCCTAATCAAGCGACCCGCCCGGTTCACCATGGACCAGCTCGTCAACGACTTTCCGACCCGGGAGCTCCCGGTCACACTCGTGTGCGCCGGAAACCGCCGCAAGGAGCAGAACGTGGTCAAGCAGAGCATAGGCTTCAATTGGGGTGCTGCCGCGGTGTCCACGTCGGTTTGGCGCGGTGTCCCTCTACGATACATCCTCAAGAAGTGCGGAATTTATAGTCGCCGGAATGGTGCCCTCAACGTCTGTTTCGAAGGCGCCGAAGATCTTCCGGGCGGTGGAGGATCTAAGTACGGCACGAGCCTTAGAAAGGAGGTGGCGATGGATCCGTCACGAGACATTATATTAGCCTACATGCAGAACGGAGAGCTTCTATCACCGGACCACGGCTTCCCGATAAGAATAATCATACCGGGATTTATTGGCGGTCGCATGGTGAAGTGGCTCAAGCGTATCATCGTAACTACTCAAGAATCTGACAGTTACTATCATTTTAGGGACAATAGAGTCCTTCCATCCCATGTGGATGAAGAGTTAGCTAACGTTGAAGGTACGTTAATTACTTATTGGACCATATGATAAAATTAATAATGTATTATTGATAATTGAAAACGTATTTTATTCTAAAAATACGTGAGAAATTATATATATTTCTGTAACAGGTTGGTGGTATAAGCCGGAGTACATCATCAACGAGCTTAATATTAATTCAGTGATCACAACACCTTCTCATGAAGAGATATTGCCGATCAACTCATTCACAACTCAGATGCCTTACACGTTGAGGGGATATGCTTATTCCGGTGAGTTTTCAATCTTAAATATAAAAAATACTCAGTACTCGATTTTATTTCATACCTACAAATCTAGTCATAGTTTTGTGGGTTCACAAATATTATTTATTTATTTTGGATCAAAAATTGAAAAGTTAATTTTGGAGCCAGATTCGATGATAAAAGGGGTCACTTTCGGTGCATTTAAAAAGAGCATTTTTCTTCTATAAAGAGATGACGCAATCTGCTTTTGCTTTGTTTGGAAATGGAAAAAGAGAGATGTATATATTGTGTTTGTGATGGACTAGGTGGTGGAAAGAAAGTGACACGTGTGGAGGTGACAATGGACGGTGGGGACACGTGGCAGGTGTGCACGTTGGACCTCCAAGAGACACCCAACAGGTACGGCAAGCACTGGTGCTGGTGCTTCTGGTCCGTGGAGTTGGAGGTGCTGGACCTCCTCAGTGCCACCAAAGAGATCGCGGTCCGAGCCTGGGACGAGTCCCTCAGCACACAACCCCAAACCCTAATTTGGAATCTCATGGTACGTGTTGCTCACTACTAATTGATTGATTGGAATACCGTAATTGACCTTCTCCATCCAATCACGTGTTGTCATTCTCATTTTTTTTTTGTTGTGTGTGGATATGATGGTTGTAGAAAATTACCCCATTGAGTCACGCGCTCACCTTCCCATTTGTCTCATGTAGCATTTTTTGTGATACAATTGTCTGATCACGTGATGAGTCACGCGCTCACCTTCCCATTTGTCTCATGTAGCATTTTTTGTAATACAATTGTCTGATCACGTGAAGTTCACGTGATCCCCCTTCCTATTGGTTACTTCCCAATCAATTATTTGACTTTTGTTTACCTTCCAAAAAACATTTCTTTTGACTTTTGCTCATCTGAGGTGACAATAATGATTGCAACCGAAATGGCTAGCCCAAAGCACACTAGCTAAGGCCTTTGGTTGAAAAGTAGCTAAATAAAATAGCAGTAGCTATTTCAGAAAGAGAGGGAGAGAGAGGTTGCAGATATATATATATATATTAAAAAGATTATAAAAAATTTCACCAAATAGGATTTAGTTTGCAAAACAAGAATTACAGACTTGATTATAGGAAAAAAAAAAAAAAAAAAAGAAAAAAAAAAAAAAAAAAGAAGAAGAAAGAATTATAGACCTTGATCATAAAATAAAATTACAGAAAAAAATTAAAACAAAACCCATACACACAAGTTAGCAGTTGCAGAGAAAGAGAGGGGAGCAAGCTTGAGACAGTGGCTAAAGCTTGCGAACGCGAACGCGAACGCGAACGCGAACTGGAATAGCGAGATATGGAAACTGAAAGATATGGGTTTTGATTTTTTGAACAATTTGAAATGATATGGTCGCTATGGGTTTTAATATAGCTAATAGGTTTTGGATTTTTTATTCTTGCATACAGATAGATAAAGTTAAATATATGGGTTTTGAACATCTGATTCTTGTAGATTTTGTAGTTTGCGATTGTGGAGAGAGAGAAAGAGGGGCAATTTCAAAGTTGTGAACGAGTGAATAGAGATGGAGGCGATTTGTGAGACTGAAATGATTTGCCCCTAAAATAATGATTTGCCCCTAAAATTATATATATTTGGGAGGCTGAAATGATTTGCCCTAAATATATATATATATTTTTAATATTAATATAATCAAATATATATAATATATATATAAATTTCTGAAAAAGATAAAAAAAAATTATATAAAAAAATTTATATAATAATATAATCAAATATATAAATTTATACATATATATATATATATATACATATATATATATATATATATATATATTTGGGTCCTTTTTTGACCAGATATTTTAGATTTTTTATTCTTTTTAATTAAGTTTAATTTTAGTTTCCTTCTAATGTCTACAACTTGATTTGGAATGTGCCTAATATTAACATTACTGATGCAAATATGAACGGTGGGAATGGTACGTAGTTGAAAAAGAATAGTGGTTGTGTTAAAAAATAACATTTTCATCGTAGCAGAATTGCTAAAATATAACATTTTAACACTGTAGCACTGTCAAAATATAGATTTGGCATCCGAATTTGACATTTTAGCATATACTCTTAGTGTGTTATAGAATGAACTGTGAGATTGTGACATTGTGTGCATTGATTTGGTCAGGGTATGATGAACAATTGCTGGTTCAGAGTGAAGGTAAATGTGTGCAGAGGGGACCAGGGCGAGATCGGAATTGTGTTCGAGCACCCGACTCAGCCCGGAAATGATTCCGGCGGGTGGATGGCTCGGGAGAGGCAACTCCGGCTATCAGCAGAAATGAACCAATCAGTGAGGAAGTCTCTCTCCACACCTTTCATGATCACGTCCTCAAGGAAATACTCAATGACAGACGTGGCGAAGCACAATTCCGCTGATTCGGCCTGGATTATCGTCTACGGCCACGTCTATGATGCCACCGGGTTCCTTAAAGACCACCCGGGAGGTGCAGACAGTATCCTCATCAATGCGGGTACCGACTGCACAGAAGACTTTGATGTCTTTCACTCTGATGGAGCCAAGAAGCTCCTCGAGCAGTTCCGGGTCGGTGAGTTGATGAGCACCTGTGACACCTCCTCCTCCGACTCAACCAACTCCTCTCCGAATAACTCCGTCCATGGCGCCTCCCACCTCGCTTCGATCAAAGAAGTCGCTCCGGCACGAAGCGTGGCACTCGTGCCACGTCAAAAAATCAAATGCAAGCTGATTTCGAAGAGGTCGATATCACATGGTGTTCAGCTATTCAGATTCGGATTGCCCTCTGAAGAGCTGATGCTAGGGTTGCCGGTAGGCAAATACATATTTTTGTTTGCTGAAATCAATGATAAGCTCTGCATACGAGCTTACACACCAACGAGCCCAATTGATGAGGTCGGCAACTTCAATCTGTTAGTGAAGATATATCCAAAGGGTGTGAATTCAAAATTCCCAAATGGCGGTGTCATGACGCAATACTTGGACTCGCTGCCACTCGAGTCTGTAATCGAGGTGAAAGGTCCGCTAGGCCACATAGAGTACACCAGCAGAGGCAACTTCACGGCACATGGAAAGCACAAGTTTGCTCGGAGATTGGCAATGGTCGCCGGAGGGACTGGAATCACGCCCATCTATCAGGTCACTCAAGCCATTTTGAACGACCCTGATGATCATACAGAGATGTGGTTGGTGTATGCTAATCGCACCGAAGACGATATCTTGCTCAGGGATGAGCTCGATAGATGGGCTGAGGAGCATAGTGATAGATTGAAGGTTTGGTATGTCGTCGAAAAGTCCATCAGAGGACGATGGGCTTACAGTGTTGGGATGATCAGTGAGAGTGTTTTGAAGGATCATGTCCCTGGAGCTTCAAAGGACACTCTGGCTTTGGCTTGTGGACCGCCACTAATGATTCAGTTTGGTGTGCAGCCTAACTTGGAGAAATTGGGATATGATGTGAAGGATTCGTTGTTGGTGTTTTGAACAAGGAACAAAATGGGTTATTTTGTAGATAATAAAGATTTTGTATATAGATTAGTTCTTGTACTTCGCTTGGCATGTCTTGTACTGTCTTCTACCAGCAATGTAAACTCTGTGTTTTTTGAGATTCAAAAGAAAGAAAGAAAAAAAAATTAATTTTTTTCCCTCTCTTAGTCTCAATCTTTCTAGAGAAATGTAGGGTTATCCATTTCTAGAGGAAGATAGAGAGTTATCTTATGGTATGTGTTTTTCATTTTGATAACATACAACTCCCGTTTTTTTTTATTGAGGTATCTATATAAATTGGTAAAATATCTTTTTCATTTTTTAAACAGGATCTAAATATATAAGATTTGTTGTGCACATACAATTTTAGTTTTTTGTTTTTATGTACGTACTAATTCAAATATGTAGGATTTATAATTTTATGGACGTACCTACTAACCCAAAGATAGAGTATTTGAGTTTATTGTGGCGCCTACATCCTAAGTAGGGTTTGAGTCCGGATTTGAATTTATAAATTAATTTTTTCATTTTTTAACAGAAATTTATTATAAGTTTGCAATCGTATTTTATTTATGAACTAGCTGTTTATGTCTTTACGTTCAAAGACGGAAAATTATAGAAAATTAAATTGTAGGATTACATTACTTTATAGAAAATATATCTATATCTATATATATATATATATATATTAGCCACAGAGGGACAAGTGGGGCAACTATCCCCACTCAACTTTTAATTTTTTTTTAATTTTACATGGAAAATTTTTATATTTGTATAATTGCCCCCTCTAAAATTTGAACATACTATATATATATATATATATATATATATATATATATATGGATTTTACAGCAAAAAAAAGGGACAAAATAAAAGAATATAATCATGACACGATTGTAAATATCTATAATATATATATATCAATTTATCACTTACCCATATGATATTTTTTTTTCACTTTTCCAAAATATTATATTCTTTCCCACTTTTCTCAAAAAAAATTTAATTTTATCAAGATATTCTATTACACTTTTGAGATTGTTTCCATCACATATTCAATCTGTAACATTTTCTACAATCCAAACAAAGCAAACGGAGCAACCATTTACCAGAGAGTCAGTCAGCTGTACTGCATTGCAGCAGACAAGTAATCTGATTATTTATTTTTTATTTTTATCATCTAAATTTATAATTATTATTTGAAATTATAATTTTAATTAGAAAAATTATTAGTTATTACTATCAAAATTATTTTAGGGCTTGTTGTTATTTCAAAATTTAGTTTGTGTAATTGTGTTACTAATTATTACTCTTTAAATAAGATTTAGAATTTGTTTTTATTTGCAGCCCAAATCAATGGAGTCACAGATTCATTGTTATCATGAATTTTTTTTTATTATTATTTACATATATATGATATATTAGAACACTTAGTAACTATGTTATTTTCTTTTTCATATTTTATTCTTGATTCATTGAATATGATTTTTTTTTTACTATATTTAATTGAATGAACTCAATTTTGAAATAATAATGAATAATTTGAAAAATCTTTGTGAATGTACTGAATAAAAATATAATGAATCAATGCTTTAATTTTTACATATATTGTTTAGGTTTAAATGATATATATATATATATATATATATATATATATATATATATATATATATTATTGCTATTAAAGATTGCCCCCATAGAAGAAAATTCCTGGCTACGCCACTGTATATATATATATGGAACTGAATAATATACAACTATTTCAACGTACCTGTAAAAACAAATGCAAAGTCAAAATAATTTTCTTTTTGTATTTTTTTTTTTTTTTTTTTAATCCTTTGTGCTAGGGTCTGTCTACATCTTTCAAATTTATAAAAATTGCTTGACTTTCGGGGGGAAAAAAAAAAAATATAATTAATTATAAAAATTTCCTTCATTTATTGCAATGTTATTGAAAAGTTAAATATATGATATTTTTTCCACATATATATATAAATGATATATATAGAGAGAGGTTAAATTATGGCGCTTGTTATTCGTACAAACATATAAATTATATATATATATATATAACATTCTATGTTAGTGTTTTGTAGCAGGAACAAAAGCTAATGATTTTATATATGTACATATGTGTTTTGAGGTTCAAAATTTTATTCTTTCCTTCCACTTGAGTCTCAATCTTTCTAGAGAAAGGTAGGGTTATCCATTTCTAGAGGAAGGTAGAGACTTATCTTATGCTTATGGTTGCTATATATGTATATGTTGTATAGAATGTGTTTTTCATTTTGAGAAGATACAACTCTAGTGGATACAAATAGGATTAGAGATTATTTTCACGGTAAAATGTCATTTTTCATTTTTTAAACAGTTGTTATCGTGTGCATATAATTATAATTTTTATCATATAATTATCTAAAATTTGTTGTGCACATACATTTTAGTTTTTATCAACTTACTAATTCAAATATATAGGATTTATAATTATAGTTTTATGGATTTACTAATCCAAATATAGAGGATTTGAGTTTATTTTGCAGAACTACAATCTACAAGAGTTTGTGTCGCAGTTAGGGTTTGAGTTTATAAATTGATTTTTTCATTTTAAAGAATGTTATTGTGTTTCTGCAACTCTATTTTTTAAAAATGTTTTTTATAGACGTATTAATCGTTGCTCATGTCTTTACAATTGAAGACGATATACATTTCAACGAATTCCTGCCTTTACCATGGTATATATTTGGGATAGCATTAGATTGTAGGATGAGATTACTTTATTATAAATATATATATGTGCAACAGAATAATATAAAGCTATTTCACCGTTCCTGTAAAAACAAATGCAAAATCGAAATAATTTATTATAATTATTTATAAAAATTTCCTTCATTTGCTGCAATGTTATTGAAAATTTAAATATTTGCTATTTTTCCACATATATATATACAAGTTCATTAGAATGATATATATATATAAAGAGAGGGGGGTTAAATCCTGGCGCTTGTTATTCGTAAAAACATATATATATATATATATGAATGTATAAACATTCGATGTTAGTGTTTTGTAGAAGGAAAAAATGCTAAAGATTTTATAGAATAAAGAGATTGTATATATTATTAATTCTTGTAGTTGAATCGGTTGCCACGTTCTGTATTATGTACATATACGTTTTGAGATTCAAAATTTTATTTTTTACTTCCACTTGATCCATAGAAAGGTAGAGTTATTTATTTCTAGGGAAAGGTAGAGTTTGTTGGCTTTTGCTCTGATACCACTTTCTTACTTTATTCTGATACTACTTTGTTGGAAATAAGTGGGCTAGATAAACAAATACAATTCACTATAATTTGGAAGAAAAATAGAGGAAGAAGTACATTATTTCAATTAATCCCAACTTATTCAACTTTTCTCACCTCTAAAATAGGCATGGTACATGACTTTATATAGGCTCTAAGACATATGTAACCAATTATATTTCAATGCCCAATTACTCCCACTAATCCCACTAACATAGTATTTAGTAAACTTAACTCTCATGCCTTCCACTAACACAAATACAAACTCCCACTAACATAGTATTTAGGAGACTTAATTCCCATACCTCTTAGTCTTACATAACCTTCTTTATCAAGACCATTTACTACCCTACTAACATGAAATGCACACATGCATCATGTATACCAAATACTTAAAAATACAAATTACAACTAAAATTCTAAAATCAAGTTTATTTTCAACACCCCCCTTTAAACTTGATTTTGTAACTTCAAAGTCGATAAAAAATTTGTTACTTTGTCTTGAGTTCCACCTCATTCATCTGCAACAATCTTCTTGGCCATTTCCATTGATGTATATGGCATGTGAAAATTTTTTAAATGCTTATTTGATGTCTTCACATATTCATATATCATCCTCTTTATACAAACGCATCATCGATCTTTTTTGTTCTTGAATTTTTTATGACTCTTCAACTTCACATATGCTTTTTCTTTAGAGTAAAAAAATAACTCCATATTCACCCAACCTGTATCAATTACAAAATTCTCCAAACTATTTTTTAAAAAATAATTTGAGAATTTCTTATCATCTTGGGCTTCAATCTCATACTTCTTTGGAACAACTTTCTTTAAGAGAAGTTCTTCTTTCTCCACAACATGAACATAATTTTAATAATATTTGATTTCTTTTTCCAATTGAGATGAATATGAATAAATCATAATTTTATCAAATAATTCAAATATAACTTCTTTCAAGGTGGAATTTGTAACCATACCTGAAGATGTTAATGCACCAAATTCATGAACCTGTGCATCTTCTTTAACACTTTCTTCTCCTTTGTCTTCTCTTTTAACTTCATTCTCCTCCACCTTTTTAATCCCTTCTTCAACACATTTCTTTATCTCTTCCTCATTCACCATTTCAAGTTGTTCTTCAAATTCTTCAACTTGATTTGTATTGTACGCCTCTTCATTCTCCACACCTTTATCCTCAAGACTTTCATAATCAGCCTTTGTAAACTCATCATCCTCAAAACATTGTACCCAATACTCCATGGGTAGTGATTCACTTCTATGATTGGAAACGATGGTCTTGAGCATCTTCCAAACACAACTTGGAGTTTTGGACTCTCCAAAATACTCCTAAATTTCTTGATGTATTGCTTTCTGCAACACTACCAATGCCTTTTCTTCTTTCTTTTCTCGAAGCTTGTTGGACATGCCATTCTTTGGCTTTAATCCAACAACATCCCACAAATCACATACTTTGAGGTATGAAGTCATGATGATTCTCATTCTCCTATAATTAGAGAACATCATCTTCTCACTAAGAAAATACATTTTCTCCCCTTCATCATCATCAAGGAGAAACATGTTTTTCTTAAATGTTGAACCTTCTAGGATCAACTTCGTCAGGCCTTCAGGATCGTCTAGGTTCTGAACATGAAATCTGGCTCTGATACCACTTTTGTTGGCTTTTGCTCTGATACCACTTTGTTGGAAATAAGTGGGCTAGACAAACAAATACAATTCACTATAATTTGGAAGGAAAAATGGAGGAAGAAGTATATTATTTCAATTAATCCCAACTTATTCAACTTTTCTCCCCTCATAAAATCGGCATAGTACATGACTTTATATAGGCTCTAAGACATATGTAACCAATTACATTTCAATGCCCAATTACCCCCACTAATCCCACTAACATAGTATTTAGTAGACTTAACTCTCATGTCTTCCACTAACACAAATACAAACTCCCACTAATATAGTTTTTATGAGACTTAATTCCCATACCTCTTAGTCTTACATAACCTTCTTCATCAAGACCATTTATTACCCCACTAACATGAAATGCACACAGGTATCATGTATACCAAATACTTGAAAATACATATTACAACTAAAATTCTAAAATCAAGTTTATTTTCAACAGAGTTGTCTTACGCTTAACTAGATATACTATATATGTATGTATATCTTGTCCAAGTGACTTTGTTCTTGTAATCTCAAAATTCATTTTTTACTATTTCTAAATATTAGTGTTGGTGTAGGTAGTTTCGGTTTGATTTTGTAATGACTCGATTGTTTTCCTTCCTTTCCTTTTTTTTCAGATTTTCACGGATATTTTTTTTCCGTTGATCTTTTCCTTTCTGAGTGCAGTTTCTCATCACTTAGTGTCGTCTCGGATGCTTTGGAATGATTTTCGAGACTCTTTTCTTTGGATTGACAACTTCTTTTGAGTACCGCGTCATTTTCACATTTTTATTTTTTTAACACTATTCACTTTTCGTCCTTTTCCCTATTTTGTCTTTTCCCCGTTTGTCACTTTGTTGGCATAACCTCACTTTTGTGTACAGAGTTGGTTTTTGACTTCACGTATCTTCATTCTAAGTGGTTTCCACAAAATACGTATATTTACTTTTGCAGTAAAGTATTCTGGTTGCTCCCGATGTCCATAGGGTTATGGATGCATAGTTTTTCAGAATCTTTTTCTTTTCTTTGAGCATTTTTCATAAATATCTTTTGAAGATATTTTATTTCAAGGGTTTTTAAGAAAAAAATTTGGGAAGATATTTTCATTCTGGGTCATTAGTGTAGTTTTCACTTTTTGGAGAGACTATTGTGCAATTAAGGAAAGTTATTGCAAAAATGCCTCGTTTTGAGCCTGGATCCTCGTACGGGATTCATTTTCACTTTTCGTCGAGTCGTGTACTCTTAGAATTGTCTTTTGGTTGTTTTCCTCCAGTTTCAAGGTTTCTGCCCCCGATTGCCGCCGAATTTGTTTAGGGCATATCTCTCTACTCGGGACTTAGTTTTCGACGCCATTTCTTCCATTATTCATTTTTTCTCATTTTGGTTCTTTTTTGTTCACAGGGTTTTACCGTTTGAGCGCATCTGTGCAAATTCCACTTTTCCAGACCTGGCGGGGCACTTTTAGGATTTTACTATAAATAGAATGCCTTAAAGTGAAAATTCACTTTTTCACCTTCTTCCTCCCTCTCTTGGCCGGATTCCATGGCAGCCAAGGGGCTGCTACCTTCTCTCTCTTCTTTTGAGCTTTTTCCATTTGTTAAAAAGTTGTAGTGCCTTTGTGTTTTATGTTTGTCTTGGCTACGCACATCTTTCCCCTTATTAGAATCCGTTTTTGGCCATTTTTTGAGTTCGAGTTTGAGGTTAAGTTAGGATTTTGGTATGTCCTCTTTGGAGTTTATCGTTCACCGTGTTGTCCCCGACAAAACCCCAAAGTTTCGTCGAATTCAGAGCGGTTTCATTTTGGTAACATTTGAGATTTTCATCTCAAATTAAGGTAGTGGTGTTATATGTTATTATTTTTGTTGTCTTGCATACTTTTGATGATTATACAACTTGTATGCATGTTTTTGTTCAAAATCTAGAATTTAATTTAATTATTTTCTATGTTTAAGATTTAATTCTCATGATGATATTCAACTTAGAATTAAATTGTGGCATGCTAGTAAATTAGGTTTGGTATGTTTGTTAACATATATTAAATTGGGATTATTTGAATAAAGATTGCATCTTTTATTTAATAATTTTCTTTTGTGAAAGTTTAATTATTATGGTTGTACCTTGCATAGAATTAACTTGTGATAGGCTATTAAATTAAGTCTTGGCATGCTCTTCAACATACTTTAATTTTGGAGCATTTGGATGAGTATGAAAATCTAGAGATTTTAATTAAAAGAATTAATTAAAATCGATTTAAGGGTTCCATTGGCTTAATTGAGTTTTAAACTTAATATTTGAAATGACTAGGACTTGTTTACTAGCATATATATATTAATTTGGGACCATTTGAAATTGTTTTAGAAGTTAAAGATTTAATTATCATGATTTAATTAAATTCTACTTTATTGTTTCATTGACCTAATTAAGATTTTGAATAGATGTATGTAATGACCATGCAAGGTTGTTTAACATGTGTTAATTCATTTGATTGAGATTTGAAACTTAAAGAAATTAATTAGTTTATTTAATTAATTTATGTTTCTATAGCGTTAATGATTTAATCATGTGTTTGACATTGGTTATATGTTTAAATCATGATTTTGGATTTGTATTAGATTCATGAGTTTATGTTTTCAATGCTGAAATATATTGCCATAGCGTGTAACGAATCGCACACTGAAGATTTGACATTTGTCATGCCATTGTAGTTGTGGACTTAGTATATGTATTGTATGTGTTTCCAAATTCGATTGTGCATGGTAGTAATTGATTATCTTGTATATACATGTTGATATATACGTTGTTGCTTAACTTGTTGATTTTGGAAACTTGAGGATGTCGTTGTTTGACTACGGTTAGGACATGGTTCTAGTACGGGGGATTGTCCCTCTATAGTCTAATACGCACATAGGGAGGTTACCCATAGGCTAGTAACCCTAAAGTAACCAAGGTGTCGATTTGATCTGGCGTGATGTCCAAGTATCCACCTTGTTTGATTTCACTTTTCATTTCAAGTTGATAACTAAATGATATCGTAACTTCTTGTTCCTTAATTGATTTCCCATTTTGAGTTTCCTTTTTTTTTTTTTTTTTTTTTTTTTTTTTTTTTTCTCTCCTGAATGAAGGATTTTTATAAAAAATTATAAACAATAATGTACATGGAAATATAGTGAAGGCATACCCTCACTTTACAAATCATAAACTACCCAAAGAAAAGGTAGAAAAGAAAGCACTGCTAAGAACAGAATTAGTTACAAAATATCCTAAACGCATACCCCCATGACATCAAGAACCTCCCAAATAATACACTTAGCTAACACCGCAGTAAACAAAATTCTAGCCATTTTGTTACTCTTTCTTGAAAAACGTTGATTAAACACCATTACCAAGTTCTGCAAATCCAAGACCCTTTGTAAATTCCATCCAACTATGGCAGAAATACCATTCCAAACCTTCCAAGTAAAGTCACAGCTGCAAAATAAATGATCCAGAGTTTCCACACTCTTAAGACATAAATAGCATCTAGATACAATAAAGAAACCTTTATTTTGCAGAAATTTATGAGTCAAAATACCCTCCTGTAAGACTAAAACAGAATGAGTAGACCATCTTGGACCCCCCCCCCCCCACTCCAGCATAAACTATACCAGCAAACATTCTGTCTTTGACTTCTACACACCTCCCAAGCTGCTTTGAAACAAAAAATGGACTTCCATTTTAATTGATCAACTCCCCCCAAATATCCTATTATTATAAAAAAAAACATGTCTCAATTCTTGTGAAGTATTAAGCAACAGATCTTCATTCCATTGGCCATTAACAATAAAATCACTCAATAAACTCTGTTTATTTCTGCTAAGAGAACCCAGCAACCTTCGGTTAAATAGTTCACTTAAAAATTTACCTTCACACCATGGATCTAAAAACACTTGAATCTGCTGACCATTACGAATTCTATATCTGCAATTTTCTTTTATAATTTCTCTACCAGCTATTTTCCAGATTGAAGAGGATGATTCCTTAGGAATTACATTCCAAAAGGAAGAATGTCTCAAGTAATTTTCCTTAAACCAAGCCACCCACAATCTATCTTTGGATAACAAAAAATCCCAAGTAAGACTACACTTAGCAGCCTTGTCAATGTCCCTCAATCTTCTTAGACCCAAACCCCCTTCCTCTTTAGGAACAACAAATTTATTCCAGCGCAAACCATGCATCTTTTTCTTGTCTTTAACATACCCCCAAATATAGTTTCTCATTTTCCTTTCAATGATATTGATAATCACAGCAGGTAAGGAAAAAACAGAAGTCCAATAGTGTACCAATGGAAGAATTACAGCCCTGCTCAATTCCACTCTACCAGCTATAGAAAGATGAAGACCATTCCATCTAGTTGTAAGAGAAATAACCTTCTCTACTAGCTTGTTGCAATCCATGCTTCTAACCATTTTATCTGATATAGGAAAACCAAGGTAAGTAAAAGGAAGTTTACCCACCTTGCAGCCAAGAGATCTAATGATACCAGTTTTCCTCCTAACTGAATTAGTAATGAAGACCTCGGATTTCTCCTTACTTACTGCTAAACCTAAAGCTTTTTCAAACTAAATCAGAGTTTTTTTCAATGAGAGAACTGTGGCCATATTAGCTCTAACAACTATCAACAAATCATCAGCAAAAAATTGATGCGTAATAGGTATTCCAGATTTAACTGCAGCTTCAGTTGGAATAACTTTACCACTTTGAACCTCAGCTTCCATAATTCCTGAGAAATACTATATAACAAGAGTAAAAAGAAGTGGAGATAAAGGACAGCCTTATCTTAGCCCTTTCTCAGGTTGAAAATAACTATAAGGTGAACCATTCACAATGATAGAAAACCAAACTGAGGATAAATAAACTTTAATCCACTGAATTCATTTGTTACCAAAACCATACAGCTGCATCAACTGAAGTAAAAATTCCCATTGAACTGTATTGTAAGCCTTTTTAAAATTAATCTTCCAAGCCAACATAGGTTTAGCATGTTTTGCCCCAAAACCTCTCATCAATTCATGAGCCATAATTATATTATCCTGGATTCTCCTATCTTCTATAAAAGCTGTCTGCTCTCTGCCCACAAGTCTCCCCAAGACCTTTGCCAATCTATTAGAAAGAATTTTAGCAATGACCTTATAAAAGGTATTGCACAAAGAGATAGGTCTGAAATCTCTAACCTTTAAAGCATCCTTTTTCTTCTTAATTAAGTAATAAAAGTACTATTGATGCCTCTTCCCATTTCTGGATGATCAAAGAATTGAAGAATTGCATCAGTGAATTCCTCTCCAACAATACCCCAAAACTGTTGAAAGAACCTAGTGGAAAATCCATCTGGACCAGGAGCTCTATCCGAGCCCATAGCCAAAACTGTGCTTTTGATTTCCTCCTTTAACACAACCTCCTCTAACCTTTCAATTTCATCTGTCACAAGTCTTTTCCTAATATATTTAGCTTGAGGAATTTGAGATGCAGGCTGAAAGTTTGCATAAGCAGACTTAAAATAATCAACAAACTTAGTCTTAATCAAAGTTGGATCAGTAAAAACCTCCCCTTCATCATGAATTTCTGTGATATTATTCCCTTGTCGGTGCTGTTTTATTTTCTGGAAAAAATATTTAGAGCATCTGTCTTGATCTTTCACCCATTGAATTCTAGATTTCTGAGCCAGAGTTAAAGCCTCATTAGAAATAGTAGCTTCCAATTTCCTCCTACCTTCTTCTTCTTGCTGGATAAAAGCTTCATTCAAAGGATCATTATTTAATAAAAACTAAATTTGAGCAAGAGACTTCCTACAACCAATCACCTGTTAAAAAACAGAACCAAATTTATCCTTGTTCCACTGTTTAACTGTCTGCTTAACTAATTTTAACTTGTAAAGCATCTTCTTTATAGGATCCCCATCGGTCTTCAAATTCCACACATCAGAAATAATATCCTTAACAGCAATTTCCTTGTTCCATACTGTCAAAAATCTAAATGGTTTAGGACCATCAGCAATCTTCATTGGTAAGTGAAGGATTAATCCCCATTGATCAGAAGTCAGAGGAGGAGTCAAAACTATTTGAGCATTTGGATAAGTCTGATCCCACTCCTCATTCATTAATCCTCTGTCCAATCTAGCATAAATTCTTCTATTTAAGAATCTATTATTAAACCATGTATAAGTCCCATTTGTCACAGGAATATCAGTTAAGCATAAAGAATCAATGGTATGATTAAATTCAGCAAAAACTCTTGGAGAATGGTATCTACCTCCCAGCTTCTCAGAGTTACATCGAACAATATTCCAATCCCCAATCAGCATCCATGGACCATTAATAAGTGGAAGACTCTCCATTAATGACTTACAAAGATCTGTCCTTTCCCTAGCAGTATTATTAGCATAAACAAAAGTAACAAAAAATCTAGAAACAGTCCCTGTAATCTCTACCTATAATAACATCATCTGAGCAGATTTCTCAATCACAGCAACATTTAGCCTCATTGGATCCCAACCACACCAAATACGACCACCTGGAGCAGCTGGATAATTATTCTCCCATGTCTAATTGTTTCTAAGGCTATCTGTCAATCTTTGGAACTTGTGACTTTGAACTCTAGTTTCTACCAAACCACACAAAAATATTGAGGAACTACTCAACCAAGCTTTAACTTCTTTTTGCATAGCTTTCCTGTTGAGACCCCTAACATTCCATAAACCAATCATTGACCAATAGGATTTGGTGGGAGGCACCCACCTGCAACTATACCTCTAGTAATTCTAACACTTGAATCCACTTCAATTTCTTTTTTCTTCCTTTTCTTTTGTTTCTTGGATGAGACACTCCCTTCAAGAGATACCGGAGCTATCACAGCAGCATCATCTTCAGCCTTTTTTCCATCAGCCTGGATTACTTGAACATCAGACTATGAATCATCTTGTGTTATCTTATTAGCCTCAGCTTGATTCTTAGATAAAGCACTCCCTTCAGGAGATACAAGAACTATCAGAACAACAGCATCAGCAACCTTTTTTCCATTAGCCTGGACTTCTTGCACAACATTCTTAGCAGCTTCCAGCATTAACGGATTAACCTCAGCTTGGTTGTCATCTTCCTTTATGTCAGAAATACCACCAGTAGCCTTCACCTTATCTAATTCTGAAACTAAAAACTCTGTAGTCCCTACAATATCCATAGGAACTATAGAATCCTCACTCTCAACACTTTCATTAAGCACCTGAAATGCATTCTTAGCAATAATCGGATTTTGAGACACTGGAGAAACTCTTTTCTTCCCTCTTAATTTTCTTGGAATAGTAAAACCCTCCTCCAACTCCTCCGAAATTTTATCAGTAATAATCAAACTCAAATTCTGATCAACACACACTTCTTTTCCCTTCACTGATTTCTTCACCACCCACTGTTCCTTCGATTTAGTGACTTTGATTTTATTCAGTGGACACATATTTTCAGAGTGTTCCATTTTTTTACATAAACTACACACTTGGGGTTTCCATTCATACTCATTTTGGACTTTGAATTTCACTCCATGTAATCGAGTTTGGATGGTTTCGGGAAAATTTCCATCCACCTCCATTTCTGCTAAAACGCGAACATACAATCCTCGCTCACGACTAAGAGTAATAGCATCCATATATAGAGGTTTTGCAATATTAGAGACCACCTTTGACACCGATATACCACTTCTAGCATGCACAGGGAGATCATACACCTTCATCCAAATAGGCACTGAAGATAGAATATCACATTCAAGTTGGAAACTCTTATGCCATTTTTTCACTATAATAGCACGACGTTGAAAAGTGTGGAATCTCGATAACACCTGTAATAGATCATCCTTTGAAGGAAACTGGACCTGGAAAAATCCATCTTTCATGGATACCACCACTACATCCTTATTCCAACGTTTCTGAACAAAAGCTTTGAAGTATGGAAAGTACGGTTTACTTCCCAACACGTAGCATACAATAGAGTTTTCCCAATAATCTAATTCTTCTGCTATATCTTCATCTTCAATATCAATAACTTCTTTATTACGGCTTTCGCTATAATACGTCAAGGGGGTGAAGTTTGTAGATGTGGAGTTCACTAGTAAAGAACTCTAAGAAGGCTTAATAGGAGAGGACACAACCGTGGGTGGAACTCTCCCCACTATCGAGGAGGGTTAACCCTCCTCCATGGCATGATTTCTTCCTCTGAAACCCTAGGAAACCCTCAACATCTTGCAACTCAAAATGGGATTTCCCATTTTGAGTTTCAAGATGTTAACTTTGAGAAATCATGCTTTATACGTTGTATTGGAAATTCCAATGTTGGTTAAATTGCATCGATATTGTGATTTGTATTTTGATATTCAAATGTAGCTTAGAAACAATCCCATAGATTCATTTAGAACATAGACGTTAGGTGGCATGATCCACTTTAGTTGTTTTCGTGTTTTAGATTTTAAGTTGAGCACTTTGAGAATCTATATCTTGTTGTTTTGTATAACATGCTTTCATGTTGTTAAATTGCTTGAATGATGTGATTTATGCTAGAAATGATGTAAGGTAGCTTAGGATGCTCCCCGAGTCTCATCTTGACATAGACGTTAGGTGGCATGAGCCCTTTTGACTTGTTTCACCTTAAGGTGATAATTTTGTAAAATGTTAGGTCAATGCATACTCATTTCCTACGAGTAACTTTATGTTACTCACCCCGAAGTTTCTGGGGATTTGTTTCAGGTACGAAGGCTTGGTTCGTAATGCTCATCATACTTTGGATGACTTGTAGCTTTTAAGTTTCCATTTCATACAAATGTTAGCATGAAATGTTATTTTGTAGCCTTATATGTCTAAACTTGTATCTTTGATTTCACATATGTAATGTGTACATAAGTACATCTTTTACGATGTATTTGACTAGTGTGAGATGAGGCCGGTGGCCAATGACATTCATATTGCATCTTATGTAATTCTTGATTTCATGAAATGTTATGAAAATATTAAAAAATGACAAGTCATTACTTTACCATGCTTGCATTGGGTATGGGAATTCAATTTTTATTCTTTCATAGGGTCTCATTAATCATGTCTAAAGTGTGGCCAAGGGTCAAACGGTAATTTGAAATTATTTGTTAATTTTGGTTTTCAAATTTCCTATTTCTTGTTCATTTTTCATTGTTGGCTATCGGGGGGTCGGATTTTGAGTCAGGGATTCTCGGGAGCCGCGGACCATACTCGCATGCTTAGACTCATTTATTACACTTGCATGCACATTCGTTTCAACCTAGAAATACATTTAGGGTCAAATGCATACTTGGTGCAAAGTTGCATTTTTTGAGTTTTTAAGCCCTTACTGATCTAGGGACATTTTGGCCATTTAACAATGTGTTTTTTTTCATTTTCTCCAATGTAAGAAAATTTGATTTTGGGAGGGGTTTCTTCTTCATGTTTTTCTATAAAAATTCGTTTAATAGCCCGTTTTTGATCTTAAATGTGGACAGTCACTGTAACATCTTTTTTGGGCCCTCTTGACCTCTTCTGATCTAGGGGTATTTCGGGTATTTCACAGTGTTTTTTTTTTTTTTTTTTTTCATTTTCTTCCATATTTCCTGGTAGAAAACTTGATTTTGGGAGGGGTTTCTTCTTCTTGCTTTTCTAGAAAGATTCGTTTAATAGCCCGTTTATGCTCTCAGATGTGGACAGTTACTGTAGCAATTCTTTTTGGCCCTCTTGACCTCTTCTGATCTATGGGCATTTTAGGTATTTCATAGTAAGTTTTTTTTCATTTTCTTTCATGAAACCGGGTAGAAAACTCGATTTTAGGGGGGGTTTCTTCTTTGTGTTTTTTTAGAAAAATTCGTTTCGGACCTCGTTTCGGCTCTCAGTTCTGGCTAGAACTTTTCTTCCCCTAGCATGTCATGGTGCTTGTCGGGGTGCTCGTCTCAACGTCGTGACGTCGACTTTGATTTTCGCTCGTTCTCCTTCGTCCGGACTCCAAATTGAGTGAATTTTTTTTTTAAACTTAACTAATTTTTTTTTTTTATCTTTCCAACGGTGTGCTCGGTTGCACCCGGATCTTCCTAAAAAATTACCAGTTTACCATTTTAGCCTTAAGTGCTCGTTTTTCTTCGTCATGCCGTTTCTCCTTCATCCGAACTCCGAATCATGTGATTCTTGAGTCCATCTTGATTAATTTTTCGTTATCTTTCCAGCGGTGTGCTCGGTAGCACCCGAATCCATATTTTCAGAAATGACCATTTTGCCCTTGGGGCTATTTTTGTCCGATTTTCTTGCAATTTGCTTCCGCTACTTTCTTTTGAGTTCCGTGACTTCATGGGAAGCCACAGATGTGTCTCAGGAATAATGTACATTCTAGGGACGTAATTTTCAAGTTAAATGACTATTTTGCCCTAGGGACTTATTTGTCATATTTTCAATCTTTTGCTTCCGCGTCAGTTCTTATTGAGTTCCACGACCTCATGGAAGGTCATCAAAGTATCTTAGAGGTGTGTTGTGCCTTGGGAGATCGTTATTTTATTTCTTGCTTCCACATCTGGATCCGTTATCGGGTCAATCTTCGGCTCATTATAGGACGCACTGGCTTGAAAAACCAGGACCATCACAGGTAGTATCAGAGCTCCTAGGTTTAAATACCTTGGACGACGGGTTTTGGGTGTATATCACATTTTTGTTGCTATGTTATATGTGTGTATATGCTATTTATTAACATATTTCAGTATTATAACATGTTTATGTGTTTATTGATAACACGTTTGGTATTATGACATGTCTCTATGCTTATATACTTATGTGTTTAAAAGCATCCTTGTTTGACATATGCACTTATTTGCTTAAGTGCTTAATTGTTTAAACAACTTTCTTTGATTGCTTTGGCATGACCGTATGTTGCATACCTTATTTTGCTTTGTGTTTGGTACATTCATAGTGTGAGTTGCATTCGATCATAATAACTCGTGTTATTATTGATCTCGTTTCCTTTACACGCATATAGTGTCACAGTCTTGACTCGCGGAGAGTCTTCTTGTTAGGGCTCAGGTGAGCATAGGGTTGTATTATCCATCATTTTGTCTCATTTTCTTTTGTCTTTTTGTGATGTGGTCACAGTGGTGTTGGAGGTGTCGGTGTTATCTCTTAGGACTTCATAGTGTTCTTGACGTTATGATGTCATTGAGGTCTTTGTTTCTAGCGTCATGGGACGATGAGTCAGGACTGATTCGAATCCTTCCTTAGGGAGTTGGGAAGTTGCCTTATGAGCCTCAAGGTGAGGTTCTCATGTCTTGTCTTCTTAGGGTGATAGTTTCGAGATTTGGATGGGTGTGTTTACCTAGGATCCTTCTTGTGTTGCCTTGGTTAGCTCTTACGGGCTACGGTTAGGACGTGAGTGGTTTTGTGTAATTAATTGTGTTGGTGCAATTAATTACTCTCCCTTGTCATTGGAGACTTGGGGACATTGTGTTAGGGTTCTAGTAGAATCCTGTAGAGTTCCGATCGAACTTGTAGGCATCTTGGTTTGGGGTTTTTTTTTTTTGTTAGGGCTATCCATTTTGTTGTTGCCTTGTTTCGTGTGGTGTTGGGATTCCATCAGGGTATAAACTGGTCTTGGAAAAGACTTACTGACCGTTCCTTCTTTTGACAGTTTCCCTTTTACTGATGAGGAGAAGCAAAGAGCTGAAGCTCTTAAGAAGAAAGCAGTGGAGGATTAACCACTAGCAAGGGTAAAAATGTTCCCAAGAGTATAGGGAAGAAGACTAATGATGCTGACCCTGAAGCTAAAGTTAAGGATTACATCCTGGCCAAAGCTGGTGAACCTCAGAGGCCTACTTTCTCTAGAGTTAACAAGTCAGTCCTTCACTCTGGAGATTTTGTTGTTACAGACCCTTCTGCTGCTTTGGCAGTTGCTATGGGAATATGGTTGCCCAAGGATGAGGAGATCATTGGCAATATGGGGCTGGACCAACTACTGCCTTCTACCCCTGTTCGAGCTGTGGAGGTTTGTCCTTTCCCCCTTTTTGTTACTTCTTTAGCTTTATTTCCATTCTATTTACACTGCCTTCTGTTACTGTTGACTATGTAGAGCTTGTACCACACTATGGCGTTGTGCGCTACTGTCAACGCTCAATCTCTTTCATCAAGAAATTGGAAAGAGACCTTAGCAATGCTGAAAAGAAGGCTTCGAATACAGCTCTAAATGCAAAGATTGCCTCTGAGGCTAGCGATGTTTACAAGAATTGCTTGGTAGCGTCCGAATCTAAGGTGGAGACATTAGAGGCTGAGGTCCAGCGTTTGAAAGATGCAATCGGCACCTGCGTCACTGCTAGGAAACAAATGCAAGGACGCTACACCACCTTGGTATGCTTATCCAGTGCAAAAGCTTTTAGGTTCGGCTTCAACCAGGGCTCAGGTGAAAAAATGAAGGATCTAGAAGCCTTTGATGCTGATATGAAAGTTTCCTTCCCTTATGTTGAGGGTCCACAGGCCCAAGAAGCTGAGGTGCTGTTTGTTGAAATGGTGAAGTCTCACGAGAAGGACCTTTCAGCTCATCCGTCTTTTAACCTGCTAACTCCTCTAGCCTTAAGTTTGACTGTGGTAGACGCTTTTGATTCTGCTCCTTTTGATCCCAAAAGGAAGTGAACTTGTATAATTTCTGCTCCAAAACAATATTTGTCTTACTTTCAAACAATAACTACTCTAGTTTTTATGTCTACTTTTGAGAATTTGCCTTTGGATATCTGTATGTCTACAGATGCATCCGAGTTACATATTGTTACCGAATAGTTTCTCATGTTTTTGGAGAAATTCTTTCTCTTGGGACTTTAGATTTCTAATGGTCCGAAGCAAAAATTGAGAGGATGGTAAGAAGGGAAATCTTATT